GAAAAGCCTTCAACAGTTGTTAAACAGAGTATAAGATTCAGCAGACACTCAACTTCGAGATCAGCAGGCCGGATTACGTAAAGATCGATTATATACCTACCAAATTGCTACACCACCGATCACTGTGGAATAATCAATTGAATGAAATTCACCACTATACATCAACTCCATTGATTACGACAAAGCATTGTACAGCGTAGACAAGATGACAATATGGAGGCTTCTTTGACATTACGGTGTACCTGAGATAGACGAATCATATGGAATTCTTACAACTGACTACACTAACTTCGTGCAGATAAAGGCGGCCAGTGTAGCATCAGACTCTGCTTCAGTAGGTTTCAACATACACAAGGGGTAAAGCAAGATCCTCTGATACATAACAGCATGCACAAGCCAAGTCAAACTGGATGAAGAAGCTTTGGAAGATGTGGAAACGTTTATATACGTGGACAGTATTATTGATAAACTAGGTGGATCTGATGCTAAAAGCGACTGTTGGCAAAGCGAGGACACCATTTCTACCAAACTCTGAATTATCAGTAGAAGTGTAGAGTTAGTTCTATTGTATGCAGCTGAAACTTGGAGAACTACGAAAGCTATCATCGAAAAGATGAAGGTGTTGATCAACATTTGACTATGCAAGATACTCTGGATCCGTTTGCCAGATACCATCAAAAACAACCTCTTTTGGGTCAGGAAAATCCAGATCATAGGTGTAAAAGAAATTAGGAAGAGGTGCTTGATGTGGATTGGACACGCTTTGCGGAAACCAATCAACTGCGTCACAAGACAAGTCCTCGATTAGAACCCCCATGGCCAAAGTAAAGAGGAAGACAAGGGATACATTACGCTGAGAATCGGAGACAGACATGAGAAGAATGAACTTTATTTGGATAGAACTGAAAAAGAAGGTCCAGAATAAAGTAGTCTGGAGAAGGCTGGTCGTTGGCCTATGATGCACTGAAGGTAACGATCGTATGTAAGTAAGTCAGTAAGCAAGTAAGTAGTTTTTGTAGATGGACTGGTTCGTCGCCTTGACAAATACATAATCGTTGGATAATCTAACGTCAGATAACGGCCCTTCTAGCTCTCGGATAAGACTGAAACAAGTTTCCTGATCATCACAGAAACATTCAGAAAATCTATAATGTGACCTATACAGGTTAACCACTGAAGTTAACTTTGTGTCTAAATCACATCTATCACTGAAAATGTCAGAATCGGTAATGCTAACAACAAAAACATTTTCTTGATTTACTTCAACTAAACACATTCATCCTCGTTCCTTGTCGCACCCAAGAGCTGTTCGATATAATTCGACCTATCATTGTACAAGCCTATAATTTCTAACCTTACCGATAACCAAACCAAATTCGTATGCTTCTTTGTCATCTCGATCCAAGATTGATCTGACGATGATGTGAATGCTAGCCAAAACCAAAAACTGACGATTAGGTTTTAACGATTGGTATGGTTGAGTGACCTTTGAGAACGAAATGCTAGTTCACATGGTTTGTATACAGAATGAAAGATTGAACTAGGTATAGAAATTTATCAGTCAACACTAACAAGCGAATACTGTTTGAAATCAGAATGACAAGCACTGTGACTAACAGTCTAGCAGTAAAAAATGTCTACAGTGAGAAATTATCATGAACCTTTCAAGTAACACTGATGATATTACAATATCGAATGAACACTGCTGCTTACTGAAGCACAAACTACAGTTCAGAGGTTAAAATATCAAGCATTTCACAATTAGAAATCAGGAATTTTCTAGAAAGAGTAGGATGAACAAATAATGTATTGTGGACCGATATCAGTTGTACTAATCATTAGAACTTAGTATGAAGTGTCATTAGAGCGATTCAATACTACAACTCTAAAATCTGATGATTATGCTAATTACGTACTCATTAATTATGTTAGATAATATAGATGGAACATGGGCTTAGAATACATGCTCTTTCAAATAATAAGGAATAGTTTTTATTATGGTATCGAAGTGGATAAACATTATATCTTAACAATCGTCAGTATTATTATTAGAGGGAATTTCATGCTAAAATAACCTTATTCTTAACTAAGATGCAGGAGAATTTTTCAAGAAGTAACTGGTTATGTTATCTGTGTAACTGTAATGAACCGATCATACCTGTGACTACATATTCGGTTGTTATTTTAATAATACATATGATTATTATGGTCTGTAGTGCATGAACTTGTATGTTGAGTCCATACGACTTGTTCTAGCTTTCGGACAAACTAATTAACCTTCCCTGCTCGAGTTACAATTCACATGTCTTTCAACTTTGTCTATTATTCGCTCATATTTTGTTTGATTTTATTGGAGTATATAAGTACACAATTACTTCGTTTATCACATGTCTAGATTATTTTGTCTGACTTGAGATACTGAGTCATGCCTTATCTCATGCAGTTGGCTCACCGGGCTTCTCCGCTTTGCTTTGCTTGTGTGCTTTTAATTATCGTCTGCCTGCTTAAATGAAAGCATGAACAACTGCTTGAAATAAACTCATTTGACGGAATCCGTATTTGGCTTCAAATTACCGCCGTCGCATAAACGGGGTTCACCTAAGTACGATATACGGAGACTGAAGCGGAGATTTATTTCATAGCATGTTGGACTGTTCAGAAATATTGGAATCAGATAGCGAGTCACTAAAATGGTGAACGATACATCAGAGTCTAACGCAGCCCACAAAAGGACAAAAAGTAACAAACAATATAGGCCACGACCTATATATTTATTAGTCTTAGTCACAACAATCACATCATGATAATGATATAATATTTTCAAAAAGAATACCAAAGTAGTACAGAAAATAATACTATCAGTGACAGTAAAAAACTCAAGATTTATCAAATAATTTGAAATCAAGATCTACTGGAAGACAAAAAGTGAAAGTAACTGTGTCATCGAGAGTGCTTCCAAACTATGTCATTTAAATTTTCCAATTATTTGTAACCTATTCTTATGAAACCCAAACTGGCACTGTACATGCTGGTCAGTGACTTTACCAAAGGATGCCACGTTTTGATTTGGTTCTCTGCATTTCCTTAGTTCATTGAACTAACAAGCATCTCTCATCAGAGTACATATATGTAACAGATAAGCTCACCTCAGCCAAAGAAGATCTACAATCTAAAAAGTTAGTCAACTATTTTAAAAGAGAATTGTTAGGATACTCATCCAATATCCTAAGAGAATTATTGGTCAATCCTTATTGGTTAATTCCTACTGGCCAATTTTATGGTCTACCTAGATATCAATGTCACGTGCTCCAATGTCGTTTCTTATTGATTGTCCTGACTATCAATGACACTTCAAATGTTGCTTCCTATTGGTCGTCTTAACTGTCAATGTCACAGACTTCCATGCTGTTTCCTATTCGACCTAAATGTATTAATAGGCATTGTGTGTAACGTTTTATGACCACGACCAGAACCAAGACCCGGATCCCTAATCCGTGATCCTGATTCTCTTCAGGACTCGGACCTCGTACTTTCTGGATGCTTGTAGAATACAGGTTCTACTTCATATCAAGTCTTCTTATTTTTACTCAATATGGGGGTTGGGATAATCGGATTAGAGTAGCATGTCGTGCTGTCGGATCCTCGATCCTTAAATTGGTTGGATTTATGTTCATTAAGAAAATTCTTGTTCAATATTAATTACTTGTCAGCTAAAGATTAGAATTGTTTTTGCAAATTATTGATATATTGAATTTTTTTTCTCATAGATGTATCATTGCGTACTTAGACAAAAATAGGTGCTTTTACTCAATACATATATATATATGTAAATATATACTGTGAATATAAGTATACATTCTTTACATAAATAAACTATGATAATCAGTTATTACTGTTAACTGAATGGATCCCATTTAATAGTTTGTGTAATATATGAATTGGCAAAGCAAGGGCTGCATTTCTACATTTGAAAAATATCTGGAACTTCAAACAAATATCAATCAACACTAAAATCAGGATTTTCAATATAATATATAAAATATATCGAGGGGAAACTTCGAGAACTACGAAAGCCATCATTCAGAAGATACAAGTATTCATAAACAGTTGTCTACGCAAAATACTTCAGATTCGTTGGCCAGACACCATCAGCAACAACGTACTGTGGGAGAGAACAAACCAGATTCAAGCGGAGTTGGAAATCAGGAAGAAGCGGTGGAAGTGGATAGGACACACATTACGAAAAGCACCTAACTGCGTCACGAGACAAGCCCCCACTTGGAACCCTCAAGGCAAAAGGAAAAGAAGAAGGCCAAGGAACACATTACGCCGAAAAATAAAGAAAGATATGCGAAGAATGAACAAATATTGGACAGAACTAGAAAGGGAAGCCCAGGACAGAGTTGGTTGGAGAAAACTGGTCGGCGGCCTATGCTAGATTGGGGGGTAACAGGCGAAAGTAAGTAAGTAAGTAAGTAATATTTGAATTAATTTTAAAGAAATGTAATCAAAGCAAAAAAAGTTTCTGATATCATTCACTAAGTGTTTTTTGGTTTGATTTTACACAAAAAAACTGTAAGACAAAATTGAAAGATCACTTTTCATGTTTAACAATTTCCAGATTATGTAAATGATCTAATCTAAAAATATGAATGATTGATAATTTTGTAAATAATTTTGTGTACAATCACGTATTCAAAAAGTTAAAGTGACAAGATTATCGTGAATGTTACTTTCAAATAGTCTCGAAAATTCACTTTACTTCCTAAAAGTTGACTAATGCGTCCTTTCATGTTCTAAATTGAGAATACATGCATCATTATTATTTATAGAATATGTGTATTGTGTGACTTTTTCCTTGACTATAAATGATCTTATCTTATTAACAATCGATTCATTTGATTAATGGCGGGTTTAGTAAATTTGAACTTTTATTTTACAGTTTCAATGTTTCAATGATGTAAAGAGACATTTTTGTAAAATAAAATAATTTTGTACACTTATTTTAGTGTACAATGATTTCCATTACCATTGGTGATTGTTTTATAATTATTCATTACAGAATTCAAAGATGGTGATAGTAAATTTTTATACAATGGTGTTTTATTTGAACGAGAAGAATGTACTACTGGTTTATTGAGTAGTATATTCATATTTAATGGAATAATTTCATCTTGTTGTTCTGTCGTCAGAATGGGATTTGGTTTGCTCATTGGAACTTTACGATTGTTGTTTCTGAATGAAAAAAAAGGTTAGAAGAAACAAGAAAATTCTCAGTAGAATATTATATTGATGAATGAAAGTTGTTATATAGATTAGTACGAAACTATTTCACTCTGAAGTCAAGGAAATAGATAGAAAGGGTTCACTGATCTGTTTTTTATTTGCTCTGTATTTTTTAAATTAAAAAAACAGTTTCCACTTTATTTATCTATTAATATATAGATTCAAGTCATATTATTGTTAAAACTGTTACTAGCTTCTTATATTCAAAATATGTTTCTAGATAATAGTCCGGTTGAATATCATGAAATATCTTCTTTTACAGTGTAACAAATATTGATCATTGAACGTAATTGATGAATAACTGTGATTGGTGCGTGGTATCATTTATGGTAACGATTATTTTTGTATTAGCTGAAATATTGATCTGATCATTAGTATCTGATTGCCTGGTTATATCTACGTTGTTTCTGGAAAGTTATCATTATCTACCAATTACTAGTTGAGTAATTAGTGTTTTAAGGAAGATAACTGATGAGCGCTAGGATTGATGATTAAAATGAAAAATAACTAGAGTAGGTTAATTACACATTTCAAAATGTTTGTTATGTTGTTCTTTCATGAAAAGATCAGGTGTAGAATAAACAGATCTAATTTAAAGTAATGTAATTCTTCGAAATGATAATAAATCCTGATATGTAGTAGTTTTATAAAGTGCTTTCCAATGGATAGGTAAGTTGCATTACTTCATGAAATTCTTAAGGTAGATTGATTCATTCAGTTATCGTCAATTAATAATTCACTTTTCAAAACTGTTTTGTTTCGATGATTTTATTTAACTTATAAAGACCTAACTAAGTTAAGTGAGTTCAGCAGAAAGTTACCTAAACCTTTAAAATTCAAAAAAACTTCTGCCTAGATGATTTTCAAAAACTGAATTACAAATCTTTTCGAATATAATATAGACCAATTTTTATTCATAATTGTTAGGTTCGTCACTAGGTATGCTTGAAGCTATTACGGGTTCACCTTAGTCAATAAACGCGAACGAGACAATGAACCAGCGTCCAGGTAGGCTACCCTGATCTGCTGACTAATGAAAAGTATTGATGTAGCGTAGAAAGTGTATTCTACAAACACCCAGCAAGCACAATGCAATCAAGCACACAAATCTCATTTATTTATGCATCATAGAAACGTCCTTGAGACAGTCACAAAAATAGCACACTAAAATAAACAGCGGCCAATCACAGCCACGGATTTTGCCGGTGGGAAATGAAACCTCAAATTCAACTGATCAGCCCATGCTCGCAAACGTGAAATCCAAAATAAAGCATTTATCAAGAGAGTTCTGCAGATCTAACATCCCCAACAATAATTCAAAGACTATTTGATTAATCATAATATTATTTCATAAATAGTCATCCTTAAGGTTTAAGTTGATGCATTAACCAAAGTGTACAATGACATATTTGTTGAGTTAAATCAACTTACATAGAATTCTGTGGTTGTGTATTATTAATTTGACCTCGTTTAAGAAGTCTAGAATGGCATATTCCAGATTTCAAACTAGTTTGATTTATTTCATTCGAATATGTTCTACGTGGAGTAGGCATTGGAATTCTTCCAGTCTCAGTGACTGAAGCAATATCAGACACAGAAGAACTATCACTATTGTCTAGCTGATCAATATCTGTAAATGAAAAAGTGATTTGAAAGAAGAAGAAGAATGAGGATTTGACAAAATCTAGAAGATTAATTCAAATGAAGCATATATTATTTGTATAATAATGACCAATACATTTATTAACTATTAAAAATATTTTTGAAACCATGAATCGATTAATGTTAGACCACCAATAGAAACCTGGAAGCGCTGAAAGACGGCCGTTTCGTCCTGGTACGGGACTTCTCAACAGTGCGCATCCACGACTCCTGCACGCCACAGGATTCGAACCCAGGACCTTCGGTAATGTAGGTGAACGCCTAAACATCGGACCACTGAGCCGGTATCTAACGGTGTTAATGTCTAACTTGACCAATTCACGGAGTTGCGCAACCTCATACACAGTCTTCGGTAGTTACTGTCTACACCCGAACAGGTTGAACTTCACTGGTTACGTCTTCTCACTAGAACTCGGAGAAGATTCCTCACGGAACTGGTCACTAGTGAGCATAGGTAATTTGCATTACGGGGTTGTGAAGATTGTTAAGTTACACATTTTTGAAACCATGAATCGATCAATGTTAGACCACCATTAGAAACCTGGAAGCACTTTTTATATTTTTACTACAACTGAACTAAAAACATCAAGAACCAGTAGGAAGCCTCTGTCACATAACTCATTCTTTCATTGAGGTATGTGTTTCACAGAAACTGAATTTAGATATTTGGATAATATTATATATATATCTGTTCCCTTGAAAAATCTTACTTAACAGAGTGTACTTTTCCGAAATTTTCCACTCATCATTTGAACTTTAACAAATAAATTCTATTGACTCAGCCAATCGATACCGTTGGTAGAATGTCTGAGTGAGTTATTGTTTGTGAAGAATTCATCAAACACTAGATATACCGATAATAAAATGAGTCTTCTTAATTCTAATCAATATCTTAGATCGAATTAAAATAATTCATAAGGCATAGATTTGTTTATATATGAACGAATGTCTATTTATTGGTTATAAAACGATGACGATAAAAATAACCACAACAGCAACCTTATACTTTTAATTGGTAATCTGAGAAATGGCTTGTGATGAAGTCGAAAATCCGAGCGGAAACTTGTAGAACTACGAAAGCCATCATCAAGAAGATACAAGTATTCATTAACATTTGTCTACGCAAAACACTTCGGATTCGTTGGTCAGACATCATCAGCAACAATCTACTATGGGAGAGAACAAACCAGATTCCAATGGGGGAGGAAATCAGGAAGTAGCGGTGGAAGTGGATAGGACACATATTGTGAAAAGCACCGAACTGCATCACAAGACAAGCTCTCACTTGGAAACCTCTAGGTTAAAGGAAAGGAGGAAGGCCAAAGAACACATTACGCCGAGAAATAGAAAAAGACATGGGGAAAATAAGCAAAAATGAGAAAGAGCTGGAAAGGGAAGCCCAGGACAGAGTCGGTTGGAGAACACTGGTGGGCGGCCTATGCTCGATTGGGGGGTAACAGGAGTAAATAAGTAAGTAAGTAAGTAACTAACTAACTAAGTAAAAACCGATAGAAAAATCGATTCATTTGTATCAGAACATACTGTTTAGAGTTTCCCTATTAATTTAGTTAAAATGATTATTTGTTTTTACAGAATCCAATATAAAACGTGAGATCCTATTTTGAGCGACTATAATTAATAATAATAATGATAATAGTAATAATAATAATATCGATAGTCGAAATCACACAAACTGTAAACTATTTTATAGTCTAAACAAACTAATGATCAGTTAAGTTCTGAGTCTAAGTTTTTATTAACATACATTGTGATATTAGTTTAATATCTCACGGACCATTATCTTGGCGAATGGATACAATCAACAGAAACTCACTGTGACAACGTAGCTGATAATCGATGTTAAGATAGCTTGTAGTTTAAACAGTTCTAAGTACTGACATTTTACAATAATAACTTATGTAGTTTTATGTGTTAGGATATTCATCCAATATCCTAAGAGAATTATTGGTCAATTCTCATTGGTTCATTCCTTCTGGTCAATTTTATGGTCGTCCTAGCTATCAGTGTCACACACGTCAATGTTTTCTCCTGTTAGTCGTCTTGATTGTCACTGTCAATTCAAATATTGTTTCCTAACGGTCATCTTAACTGTCATTGTCACAGAATTCAATGCTGTTTCCTATTCGACCTAAATGAATAAATACGCATTATGTGTAACGTTTTATGACCATGACCAGGACCAGGACCCGGTCCCGAATCCCTAATCCGGGATCCTGATCCTCTCCTGGACTCGGACCTCGTACTTTCTAGAAGCTTGTAGAATACAGGTTCTACTTCATATCAAGTCTTCTTATTTTTTACCCAATATGGGGGTTGGGATGATCAGATTTGAGTATCATCATGTCGTGTCACCGGATCTTCGATCCTCGCTCTCGTTTTCCGACTGAAGTAAACTGGCAATAGTTCAAGTATATCAAGTTGACGTGTGTACATGCAGGCGTAACAATATGATACAAGTAACTGGTTACACATCAATTGATAAATGAATATATACCTTTGGAATTAGCATTACTACTATTGATAATCGCACCTATAAGACTACTACGATTGCTAAAACTACAGTTGTTATTTGATTTGGATAGCGATACTGTATTATCTTTATTATCCTTTTTAATATCTACATCTGAGTGATCCGATGATGATTGCGTAGAATTCGTTATATTCAATGATGAATGTTGATTGATTCTTTTCGATGATGATGATACTATTAAATTGCGTATTCGATTCATTCTTCTATCAGTTAGTAGTAGTTCACGTTTAATGGTAACATTGTTTTTCTCTTTGTAATTTTGTCGATCACTATTACTACTACTTATCATAGATTTAGTTTCAGTAAGTTGATTCTACAAAAAAAAATATTAAAAAAAAAGGAAAAGTGATGAGGTTAAGAAATGAGTTTTATTTTCTTTTTGAAAAATATAACATATCACTGGAATGTTACTTTTGTTAGCGTTTTTTTAGCAAGTTAGTTTGATATTCGTTTGCAAACCAAAGGACGAGTATACTGCGCAGTATTTCACTCCATCCTACTTAATGGCTGTGAAACATGGCTAGTAAGAGTAGTAGATATGCGTAGGTTACTGGTTTTCGATCATAGGTGTCTCCGGTGCATTGCTCGTGTATCATGGGAAAACCGAGTAAGCGATGCTGTCGTTAGGAAACGGCGACTAGGTAAGAGTGGCGTATCAATAGATCATGTATTGAAACTTCTGCAGTTGAGATGGTTGGGATATATGTTACGTATGCCTAACCACCGACTTCCTCGACGAGTGATGTTTTGTGGTGTAGGAGTAGGTTGGAAGAAAGTTAGAGGCGGTCTAACCAAAACATGTCACAAATCCATGAAGTTACTGACAAATGAACTGAGTCATGTTGGTAATTGTCGACTGCTTGGTTGGGGTCCGCGAGATGATAATAATCTATGGTTAGATACCTTGAATGACATGGCTCAAAATCGTTCGTAATGGCGCCGGTGCATTTATTCTTTGTGTCCTCTTAAATCCTGGCCTGAATTCCTCATAACCTTTATATATTTCTTTTAAGTTGATACCACTAGATTCTACTTCTTGAATAATATCTTCGAATGCTAACATTTCCGATTACTGTTGATACATTTACTACCTCTACTACAATGGAATTTGAATTGACAATTACATGTCTGTGCTAATGTGTTATGGCAACTTGAACTAATGTACGTACGTACGACGTTCTATGTTGTTGTTGACTGACTGAATAATACTTTCAATAAATTCATTTTAACTAATAAACTTGTGAAAAAAAGAATACTTATCCAGTAATGATTGAATTTTAACAACTTGATAAAGATTATCAATAGAAAATGTTGGTGTACTTTACTTTAAGCTTACGTTAATCTATGAGGTAAGTGTCAGTCACAAATGTAATCAGTTTACTTATATTCTGGTTTATGCAGGTGATTAATGATCTTCAGCTTATCACTTCGACATATTCAATATGAATATGCTAACTAAAAAATCATATTCTAATGTATAGTTTTTATGACTAACCAAAAACTGAAAGCACTTATTTAGACAACAATGTTTATACAAAGTGTTAGTCTTGTTGAATTCAACTATTTGTAATATCATATTTCATGCAATTAAAATTTATCGGAGAAATTACTGATGATGAACTAAAACAAATCAATAATATTACCATTCACTTAAACCTAGTTCATACGACCCGTAGATCGATCAGAGTTAGACATTAACACCGTTGGATGCCGGCCCAGTGGTCCGATGGCTAGGTATCGGCGCACAATACCGAAGGCCCCGGGTTCGAATCCTGCGAGGGGCAGGAGTCGTGGATACGCACTGCTGATTAGTCCCATACAAGGACGGGACGGCCGTCCAGTGCTTCCAGGTTTCTAATAGTGGTCTAACAATGATTGGCTGATGATTTCAAATGGATAATAGTTTCTTTAAAATTTCAATAAAAATATACCAAATTTATTCTGGAAATAAAAACTACAATAGATTTAGAGGTTTATGATCGTTTTTCAAGGCCAAATTTTCAAATTAATTAGAATATAGAAGAGACAAAAAAGTAGAGTTTTGAAAAATATGTTCAATAATATTAATTAAAACCGAATTCAAGTAGTTTATATTAAATTTGATATTTGAAATAAAACTATTCATCAGAAAGAACTAACTATGCATTGAACATTGACAATTGAATTATTGATTAATTACAAATGAAACTTACTTTAGGAGATATTCTTGGTGAAGCATGATTCAATGTTGAATGAAGAATATTTTTATTGACATGATTCGTGTTATTATCATTTTCAATGGATAAATTATTTGTCAATCGTTTTCTAATGGAATCATTTAATGATGAGGAGGAATTTCGAATTTGTTTCATACTTTGATTATTTTGTTTACTATTCATTATTGATCGAGTATCTGGTGTTGATGAAGATGAACTTTTTGTTTGACTATCAGTAGTATTATGATGTGCATTTGAATTAAAATCCTTAAAAGGAATCAAAAAACAAAACGGGAATGATTAATGATAATAAATACT